TCTCTTTATAGGTCTGTCCTTGCTGGGTCCTGGCACAAGCCCTCATTCTCCAAGGGCTGTGAACTCCCTCGGCAGCTCGCTCACCCATTTTACACCCACCAGCTGGAGGAGCTTTCGTGTTCATCTGCTAGAGGAAACCTAGCAATAATTGCTCCATGGAAAATAAGACTTCTTAGGACTGAGTTGTAGTTAATTTTAGGCTCTAACATGACATTATTTTCCAGTGTAAAATGAGAAAATGTTTGATGGAAGTGTCATGGTAAAACACAGAACTAATTTCTTATTATGCATTCACAAAGTACTAAAATATCTATTTAACAAAGGAAATCCATAGGACAAAATCTGGTCCAATTATAGATATCCAAATCCTAAAATACAAAATTGTATGTAATATCTATATGCATACATTCTTAATTTAATAAAAAAGTCTTAAAGCATTTAATTTTCCATATTATTTACAGAGCCTGTATTTAATCTGACTACTGAACCCAGCAGATATTCTCTCACGAGAAAATTAAAGTTTTAGATCCCAAAATGTTTATAGGACTTGAATTCTTGGTTGAAAAAGAAAAAAATCCTAATTAATTTCTTTTTTTTTCACACTGCAGTTGTAACTAGAAAATACATTAGATGTATCATCCTCGGAGTTAGTTTAGTGAAATGCAGGAGAAGAAAGTGTAGTGGCTAACCTTTTAAAGCTGTGTTTCTTTTCAATTTAAAAAAGTACTGTGCACTTCCCAAAGTCACGATCCTTAGCAGCAGCATGATTTGCATTAACAGGAATAAATATAGCCTCAACTCCATGAGTTTGCTGCTTCTTTTTTAATTTGAAGAGCAAAACCTTCCAAAATTATGAATAAATTTATCACCGGTATTCTTTTGATGGGAAAAGACTAACAGGACAGCCACACAAGACAGTATTATTTTGTGTTGGTCAGACAAGATGCTGAGGATTTCGAGCTGATCTTTTGTTTCTGCTCAAAGACAAATGGCATAAAATTTATATGCATGCTTCTGTCCTGACAGCAAAGGGCTTCAGCACAGCTCTCGCTGAGAGCTAATGGCTCTTGGGGATGCTGCTCTCTGAAGTCCCTGGGCATGAAATGGTCTCACAATTCATCTCCCGTTAATAGCAGCTCCAAGACTACAGTCTCCCTTTTTTTAAAAGTTCTTTTATCCCTGCCTGTGTTCTCATTGGAGCCGAGAGGCTGTAGTGTGATGCTTTCACCCCTCAGCAGACTCGGGGCAAGCTGAGGCCCTATGGAAAGCAGGGCCTGATGTCATCCCACCCAGCACGGGGCCAATGAACGCCTGCAGCCGCTGCGCACGGACACACGGACACACGGACACACAGACAGCATCTCAATGGCCTCGGGGCCGGCAAATAGCACGGGACGCCTCCTTTCAGTGGGCATCTCGGGCTGGAACATTGTGGGGCCGTGGGCATGTAGGAAAACAGCACCAGAAAACAAAAAGTAGTTCGGTTTAAGAAATAAGTTATTATGGACCCAAGGGAGATAAAGCTTCTGTTTTCATTTCTGGAAGATGAGGTACCGTGGGCATGTAGGAAAACAGCACCAGAAAACAAAAAAGTTTGGTTTAAGAAATAAGTTATTGTGGACCCAAGGAAGATAAAGCTTCTGTTTTCATTTCTGGGAGATGAGGTTGCCCTGGGGTGGGGGCCAGCCATGTGCAGCGGGCACCTATGGGGAAAACAGAGGACTGGGACACCAAGAGGAGCCAGCTGGCCCTTTCTGCCAGGACCAGGCTGGTGGGAAGGGCCCAAATCACCTGGCATTGGTTGCTTTCTTCCTTTTAATGTGCCCATGTGGTAAACGTGGCTTAGTAATGAAATAACATCACAAAATGACATGTATGTGCCTAATGATACCCCAGTATAATCAGCCACAGCCTGGTCTGTCTTTTACATAGGTCCTCCTCACCTGCAATGGTTGTGCAGATGTTTCATTGCCTTCTTCACGCTCTTTGCTGCCTCAGGAGATCAGACTCTGGTGGTCAGGTATGCTTCCACCTCTGTAATTCCTCTGCCCACAACCCGATGGAGTGGTGGGACTCTCAACAGTGCTACTTCCTTTCAAATTATTCAAACTAAGGTGCCAGTGTGGAGTAGACTTCTTGTGGGAAATTTGGAGCTAACTCCTGAATGAGGTTAATGAAAATATTTCCATCACACAGTAGAAGTAGAAGCAGTAGAAGTCATTCACACTTGAGAGGAAGTACCAGCTAATTTTAAATCAGTGAAAGTGAGAGTAAAAAATTGGCATAGGTAACTCAGAAGATAAGGCTGGAAAAGTCATAATTTCTAAAAAAAATAATAGCTCATTTTTTTTATTATTACAGTCTAGGTAAGGAGTAAGTACACGTTAATATTCTTTGAAATTTAAAACAGTGGTTTGTTGGATACCCTCTTTTCTAGGCATGTTAGGGATCCTGTTCAGCACAGGCTTCTGCTGTCAACCCAGTTATCCCACACGGGCCCCCCAAGGCTGGGGAATATTGTGAGAGGTGTGTGGCCATTGTCACTCAACACACAGAGCAAACTGAAGCCATCTCTAGTCTAGACAAGCACAAACTGCATTTTACCAACACTGGATGATCACCATTCATGAATATATAGAAAATAAAATAAAAATACATATGAAAAAATAAAAATATGTGGTCTAAGTCTTGTGTGGGGAGGGGTGAAGGGACAGAGATTTAAGGCTAAGAAAGTTTTCAGCTACGTTTCTATTGGTAAATTAACCTTTCCAAGACCTTCAATAATTGCTTGAGGCCATAGAAGGTAGCTTCTGTCAGATCTTCTCTCTTTAACTCCTACGGACAACTTTTGCAGACTCTCATAGAAATGCATAATCATTAAGCTTCAAGTGTGTGTCTGCATGAGCTCACCACAGTGAAGAGCATCCTTCTCTGAGCAAAATGGCTTTTACAGCTGCTGCTGCTCTTGAGTTGCACTAAGGTTCTAGCTGGAAGAAGTCAGAAAAAGAAGTATGATTTCTGTTAGGTCTGTTAAACCAACACAGCTATGCCACTGCCAAGACTGGCTGGCAGAGCAATGGGATGTAAAGGGAGAAAGCCCCCACTGCCTCCCAGTCTATTAAAATGAGCCACAAACACAATACTGATGCGGTAAGTCAGGGCAATATGCAAATGGCTGCATGTCCCAGAAACCCTAATCCTATCAAGAATGCAGAAGATGTTAATTTGACCATCTTTCACAGCTCATAAATCTATCTGTAGCAAAGCCAGGCTGGCAGATGTCATCCACTAGCACTACTTTGAGGCTGGCAGTCTCCGCATAGATGCCCATCATGCCTCAGTAAAGACCAATAAAGAGCATTGTTTGTGTGGCCTGAGGGCAGCTTCTCACATTTTGCTACAATAGAGGAAAACAGTGGGAAATGTGAATGACTGATTGGCAGAACTGGTGGTCTTGGTTGTCCTGCTTTCCACATACGGAGCTGGAGATTTCACATGCATTTTTCATCAGCAGCAAGCAGATTAGTTTACCTTGTTCTCAACAGTTAGTGGTGTGTTCCCCAACCTAAGTATTTGAATCCTAAACTATAAATACAAGCTGGACATTGTTCCTTTTCTCTCAAACAGATACGCCTTATTTACTTCAAACTACTTAAAAGAGCAAACAGCTTTATTATGATGTGATCTTTCTCCTAAGATTTAACATCTACAATAGAAATATTCTATTTCAAAGCAAGCAAAGGTCTGTAAATAAAATACCTCTAGAATGATATACCCATTTTATTCTTCTCAAATACAAGCTTTAAAATGACCAGTTGCAATATAGTTTCTTTAATATCAGCCAGAATTAATCTAATTTTTACAATGAGGATGGTAAGATGGTGGCACAGGTTGCTCAGAGGGGTGGTAGATCACCCATCCCTGGAAATATTCAAGTTGGACAGGGCTCTGAGCAACCTGATGATGTAGTTGAAGATGTCCCTGCTCATTGCAGGGGTTTTGACTAGATGAGCTTTAAGGGTTCCCTCCCACCCAAGCCATTCCAGGATTCTATAATAATTTGCTTTTGAAAGGTGTATATTGAAAGCACCACAGCAGATCTTTTTGTGTGAAGTTACCTGGGAGCAAGGTGGATGAACCTCACTTTTAGGAACTGAAATGTCTTTCAGCTTCTCAGTGGATATTGTGACTATCACAGAACTCCATGTCAAATCACTTTATTACAGCAGTGGGCTGTAAAAAGAAACAAGACAAAATTATAAAGAATGCTGTAGAGAAGCAGGAATTTCCAGCAATAAAAATGACACGTGACTGTCTGCTATTACAGGTACAGACATCCCCATGGAAACTGCTGTTCATTTAGGATGTGTGCATTCCTGTCACAAACCACCCACATCACTTCATTTTAGATCATGAAGCTGCAGCCCCACAGAACAGATTTCTCACGCTTGTTCAGAGGGTCTAGAGAGGGGCAGGCTCTGAACCGAGAAGCTGAGCTGCTTGATGCTGGCAAATCCCTGTTCTCTGCAACAAGGGAGAAGGTGCAAAAGGTAGCCACAGTTAAATAATTCAGATGGGTCTAAAGAGACAGAATGCTGCAAAGAAGAAACCCAAATGAAGTCAGTTTTAAAACTTAAGGACATAATGAATTTGCTTGGGAAATCCTGGTTGCATTTTACCATTAGAATTAGACACGATGGGGGAGAACGCACTGCGTCTGATGATGAGATGCTAACTACTCCAACTCAATAACCTTAAATCACCATTGCCAAATTATGGTATAAATATAGTTCTGATTAATTTTCTGGAGACTAACAGAATTAAGAGGCAAATGTGTGTTTACAGATACGAGAAAATTCATTATGCTAAAACTAGTAGGTCAGTGAGTCCAAACCCACTGTTTTAAGTAGGTTAAAGATGCTGAACCACCCACTCCACAAAATAAGTACTGTAAATTCCATCCAGTGGAGGAGACATATTAAACACTATTTTGTAGTTTGTTTGTTTCTTTTTTTAAAGGAAAACATGTTATTTATTGATATTGCAGTGAAACATCTGTAATACATAACAATGCACCCTATCACACAATAATATTTAAGCTATTAATTGTACAAAGTCACACTGTTATTCTTTCTTCTTTACAAAAAACTAAATCCAGCTGAAACTTGATATATGAAATATTTAACTCATACATTTTGTTCAACTGCTTTACTGAACAGCTGGTATTTTTGAGAAAGGGGAGAGAAGTCTCAGAAGACATAGCGGAGGCATATCTAAACTCAAGAGTTTATGGACTATTTTATATGAGTCCTTGGCTTTTAAAATTTGCCACAAGATTCTCGTATCTCTTGCGAAGTATTGTCATGATTTCAGTATTTCTGCTGCACCATGTCCCCACAACTGACACATGGTACTCACAGGAATAAAACTACTCAAAACTTTAAAGCACGTCCCTGAATAAATCTATTTACACCACGCGTGAAATTTTCCTTTTAACTGAAATATTCCACTTAACTGCTTCAGGTCTGAAATTACTATTATTTCTTTCTGCATTTTATAAATATCTCTTATTTTTATCAGTGTTTACAAATTTATAATTGACTAAGAACACTTTTATAGCAGGTGGTATTTCAGAAGTGCTTTGGAATATGGTTTAATATACAATTACATAAAAAAGTAGGTTTCCATATTTCTCCAGTCCTATCCATAATGGGTTATTCCCATTAGAATTCCCCCCGGGACTTATCTGCTCTGTGCTACTATTGAGAATTGCTTGAAATGAGCTAGCTCATCATTCTGCCTCTCCACCTCATTTTGAGTCTGATTATACAAATGCCAAGAGGCTTTTAAAGCTGCCCAAAATGCTTACATGGCATATATATGTAGGATGTTGGACAGAAGGTTCACTGTAAATTTTTTATTTCAGAAATGCAGCAATCTGACACACTGACAAAAAAGAGCAGCATGTTTCTCTAATTTTTCCTCCTTATCAAGACACTTGGTGCCTTTCACTCTAATTTAGTGTGGACTATTTCCTTGACCTTGTGGTGTACCACTGACCTGATTTTCTCTGTTAATGTAGTTGCCACCACTCTGAGATGCTCAGTCAATTACACCCACACCCCTGCTCCCTTCCTTTTTTTTAAACCTCATGTTTTTCTCAAGGTCTGTTCTGCACCTTCAGAAATCCATCTCTCTAGTAATGTGCTAAATGCTTCTCCATTCAGAGATTTACTCCCAATAGGAGAATGTTTTCTTAAAACCTATCACTTTGCAGTTTCTAGTGTATTTTCACATTCCTAATATTTTGAAATATGCTTTAACATTAGCCCATTTTGTTTGAAGTCAGATTTATTTCACTGTCTGATTACTTGGTTTAGAATCTTTGCATTAAATAACATCTTTGACACAATGTGCTTCAGGGGCCTCATGTTTTTCCTGGAACTATGCTGCTGTCTGTACAAATTGCACTTGTTTATGTATTTTTTGATTATTTATAAATCTTGAAGTTTTAGTACCCAGCTGCTAAGTAGGTTTTTTCCCTAAATACTAATTAAGACTTTGATGAAAACAAGTGCTCTAATGAATACCTATTATTCAAAGTAAACCTCCTTAATTTCAAATCTGATTAGTTAATTTCATGTTTGCAATGCTTCAGTGAAATACTTTCAAATAGGGAACCATGATCAGACATTGGTCATCATATACAGGTTTATTTATTTAAAGATGACACTTCTGGACTGCTTAGTAGCTTACTCTGTCATTAATTAAAACAATAGCTGCTTAATTTACTTACCAGCTTCTTTATCAGGCTAGTAAGAAATTCTATTTCTGTACACATCTATTGATCTATGATGTCCACAGCCCCACAAAATTGAATAGATTTCTTGTGAAATAAGTAAGAGTGAATAAATAAATTTATTGTGAGAAAAGCTTCCAAATGCTGGCAAAGGTTACCTTTTTGAAAAGCAGCTGGACAACACAAAGCCAGACACCTCTGGCCCTGAAAAAATCAAGTTCCCAGTCCATTTCACAGGCTACTTCCATCAGCTACACTATTCAGTATTAATCCTTCCCCACATGTACCATTCCAGATCTGTACACAGCATTAGCAGGTGACATGAAGCTGCTTTTCCAACTATAAAAGGCCTCAATCACACATTCTTAGGCACTGGTGCATCTTCTTTTGCTCCTTAAACAATTCACATTTGTTTTACATGTTAAGGTGCACAAATACTTCTGCCGTGGTCTTTTGAAAACTGTGAATGGTCCTAGCTTAAAAACTCTGCCAAGGAAGTGTTACCCTGGCTGTGTCACTGCACGTGTCAGGAGCCATCCCAATCACCTTTGGTGCCACCCAGGAAGACTCCAGCTGAGTCACTTATCAACGAACCAGCTTTATCAAGATTGCAGATGGAGAGATGGAGCTCTCCTTCACTTCCTTTGAATTTCCTGGCTGAATTAAAATCCCCACTTTCCCATACACATCCTACCACTACACAGAATCCAGGTGGATAATTTGATGTGACACACTTTGCTCTTATGCTGTCTACAGGGGGGTTTTCAGCTTATTTCTGATAATCAATGCTCCAAACCCAAAGTTTTGAAGATCTATTGTGCAGGGCATTTGCCTTTGGTATTTAAACCCTATTTATTTTCTTGCACATGCTTTTGCCCAGGTCTAATATCAATGTTTTGAGTTGGCTGCAACTTTCCCCTTCTAAAACACGTGTGTTCTTCTCAAAAAGAGAGAAGTAATGTCCACACACCAGTGTTTGTTTGCTTTTTAATGTCAAAAGTAAATTGAGAAGCTGATGTACCATGATTACTTTGGCCATTCCTAACAATTATATTTGCTATTCCTAGCATGCCTTTTCAGTGTATAGAATTTGCCTTTCTTTTTTTGCAGGTTATAATTTCTTCTATTCTCTCCCTCCTGTCTGTCTTCTCTCAGTTGCCAACCTTGCCCTTTTTAGGGCAGAACTTGTTATCTTCAAACCGGTCACATACACGATTTTTCTTCTGTGTTCTGCTCTGGCTGCCTGTACCTTTCTCTGATCTAGTGAGCCACAGGGAGAGGGAAGAAACGCCTCGATACTCTCAGAAGCACCACTGCTTATGCTTGCTGCACAGGGACAAGAGGAGGGACACACCTCCCCTTATGTCCTCCTCGCTGGCACCACCTCCACCTCCTACAGCAACTTAAGCACAGCTCCAGGAAGCAGAGAGGGGCAGCCCTCAGTCAGTCTCACTGCCAGGTCACTGGAGCAAGAAAGCAGCCTTCAGCTCAATACCAATCAAGTCTCTATTGTTTTAAAATGGAAGGCAGAAGGAAAGCCACCCATGGGGCTGTTTCCAGTGAAAGACCATTTTATGATATTGCATTCAGGAGATGTGTACTCACAGATACACACACACGGCTAATGAGCAAGTTCAGGGTAGAAAGGACAGTGGCAATTCCTTTATACAGTCATTTGCATTCAAAATGAGTGCAAACATACCTCTGTAACATGCACTGTATGGATAATCAACTTTTTAATTTATGTAAGATAGAAGAGTGTGGCTGAGTTGGTTTTTTTTAGTTCTAAGAACTAAAGTTTAACTTATGAGTAAATCTTTTAAGAAAAGATCCTAATATTTTCAATTTGCTTAGCTGTATCACTTCTTTTTATAGTAATTATTTAATTAAACAAAACCAAATCGAATGAAGAATGGGAAGTTAATTTTTTACAACCTAGATAGGTGGAATTCTTAGGAGCAATTTTATCAGAAGTTGTGTTCCCAAGACCTTTTAAAAATTTTCATTACCACTGATCTTAGAAAACATTTGCTTTCCTGCCCTCTAGTGCTCATGTCTATTTAAGTCTTCTATACAAACCTGGTTTTGGAAACCTACCACCATATAAATGGTCCTACTGAAATAAAATTACTTGCTTATTGCAATATTACCAGTGATCTAAACAGTTCCTTCTGTTGTTGCTCAGGTATGTATCACACCCATGCAGTTATCTGAAAGGTAAGACTCTTCAGGTCACTTTTCCTTTTGCCAAACCAATATAAGCAAGTTTTCTTTCTCAGTTCTGCACCATATTATGGAGTTTTAAGTGCATAAATTGTAGCTGACTTCTGGGTTTATTACTAAAACATTTTCACTGCTAGCTAAAGCTGTCAGTTTGCCATATATCAAACTACAAGTTTTCACAGTATTTACAGGTTTTCATCCACATTAAAAGCTCTTCTACTTAATGCAATTAATTTGCCTCCAGTGATGCAGTTTGTTACATCATTGTGCACGCTTACATTTAAAACAATGGGTTAACATACTACATCTGTAATTACTCCCAAGATACCAGAAAAACAGTGAATTAAATTTATTTAGTGTTAAATGGATATGGAATGTCATACAGTACATGTAAAGACACTTCAAGATGAGTAAAGCAGAACTAATTGCACAAGGGATTAAAGGTTCACCTCAACAGTCAGTATTATCAAATCATTACAGCTTCCATCTTCAGAGTGCAAGGTATGTCATGCAAAAAAACAGCTCAAAAAATCCCCAAACAGACAAAACCAACATTGTGGTACCACTTAAAATGCTATCATACCACAATATTTTACAAGACATTAGGTGATCATTCATATAGAATGAAGCATTTTAGCAATAACAAAAAAGTTTTAAACATAATTAACAGATTTGCATGAACACAAATTCCAGCATTACTATACCTAAGGAACAGGCAACATGCTGGGAGAAAGTACCTAAAAATCAAAGCCTTTTTTATTCATAGCCAATATTACTTTCTGCAAGAATTCTGCAATCTTATTCAGTTTCCTCACATAACTGGGTAAGGTTCAATACATTTTTACATAGAGCATAATCACATAACCACCACATCAGCAAGAGGATTTAATTATCCTGATCAGTTACTACATTTAAAACCATGGTAAGATAACATGCCCTGCAAACAAATTGTCTTCTGGGACAGTGTTCTGTATGTAGAAATATTAAACAACTAAAATAGACTCCTACCCACTTTAACCCCAAGTAACTTATAATTTGTATTTACATATCTTTGAAATACGTAGGTAAAAACTGCAGATGGCAGAAAAGCAGAACACACAGGAGAGCTGTGGCAGCGCTGAGGGAGCGGGTGGGTGCAGCCAGGAGCCCGAATGACCTGGGCAGGGGCTGCACCTTCTGCACTCCTCCTCTGCCCGAGGGCCTCACCGGGGCCACCAAAGGCAGCAGCTGCTGCGGCAGAGCTGCTCCTCCCCTCCCAGCGGGCTGAGCTGGGAGCAGGAGGGGCAGCCCCAGCAGTTCCGCTCAGCTGAAAGCAAACACACTCCTACACCTGCTTCAACCACAGCTTGAGTGTTAACATGGACGAGACACAGGAGATGAGAGAGGATGGCTTTTAACATTTCCACCTTGCAATGCTCATGTTCTGAGGGCACCAACAGGTAGATTAATCTACCAAAAAAAGCATACAGAAAAGGCCAAGTTGTTTTGCCCTCATATTAGGAATAAACTATTTACCTTCCTGGCTTAAATGTAAGCAAGAGAAACTCAAGAAAGAACTTCTTGAGGTTAATTTTCCATCTACATTCAAAGAAAATAATTTACTAAAACTGTAACTTGCAAGGTCTACTAGCCTTGAAGTGAGGATACAGATTAACTACACCTATAGTTAAATAAAAAACTTCAAAAGGCATTTTACAGAAATAAAATATGCAACTCTAAGAAGTAGGTGGAAAACCACTTTAGTATTTGTCTGGAACATTCTATTTTCATAGCCCACCATTCTCAGGAATGTATATTCATAAATAAAAGTACAGAACAAAAATTTGCGTATTCAATCTAAAGTTGGATATTTCTAAACCTCTTCAGATAAAATTTGCTTTCTCCCTCACAATTAAGTGATAAAACCTGAAAAAATTTGACTTTTCAAATCTATCTCGCATGAGAAAACACAGATGAACAAACCAACATCTGGAAAAAACATTTTGTACAAGATTGCAGTTCTAAAACACTTATATTACAAAGCAATGTAAATAAATACCAGGCTAGTATAAAAGCTCTTATTTACAGTTTTACAAATGAAAACGTTTTCAGTGTAAATGCAGTGTTTTAAAGAACACAATATTAGTAAAATGAGTTCCTGTATAGACCATTACAATTTCTGCTAGGTTTGAATGCAGTAATGTATAAAACCATTGTTTCAAGTTAATTTTTGTTTATAATTTAGTACAGCCAAACCCCAGTTTATGCCTGGAATGGTATCTGTTAAAGTGCTGAAAAAGAGGACATTTCTGAAATTTTAGAAAAACATACTGTACATTATTAAAGCTTTATCAAGTCAAAACTGGTATATTTTGTTCACATTTGCTACCACACCACCTGGGAATGGGAAGTTTTTCAACAAAAACTTGTTATTATTGGGATGGCAGCCATTGATATCTTCGCATCCAAAGTCTGATGGTTTCCCACAAGTAACTTGTCTTAAGCTTCAGTGGTGGCTTCAGGTTTCATAATCTGGTAAGTAATCAAGTATTCTGGATAAGCCTGGAAGAGTGACAAACACATTGTTTATTATTTGATTCTCTGGATGAATTCATAATGTTCGTTAAGAAGGAGAAAAAATTAATGCAATAATTTAAATTATTTTAAAATTAATTAATAAAGGAAAAAAAGGCAAAACGTCAAAGGTAAAAATCCCTGGATCATTCAGGAAACATACATCCTTTCACCTGCAACTGCAGCTGGAATTTGTTCTAAGACAAAAGCAAACCCTAGCACCACAAACTGAGGGAAAAAACCCCCAATGCATGACATGCCTTTGACAAAGACAAAAGAGAGTCTGTAAAACCAGCCCAAAAGCTCTTTACCTGCTCTCCTCTGTAAATGACATATTCTGCCAATGCCAATCCATTTACACTGGGTCGCCCAGTCACTGAGTGATGTCCTGGGGGAGAATGAGCCATTTTCATGGCACTGAACTGCAGGAAGGACTTGCCCAATGTTACACGGCAGAAGAGCAACTGCCTGTGTTGAAAGGGAAAAAGGACCATGAATACACAATGCTTATGACTTTGAACCTTGAAGTCACTTCAGTCAGCTTTCATAGTTCATAAACTTCTCAGGTTCTGTTTTGCTGAACAAAAGTTGCACTCACTTTGGAAAGCTCTAGCCCAAGGAAAGGGTTGGTAGTAATATGGAAAAATGTTTATCTTAGTTACTGGAAACAGCATACTTAACAATGTACTCAGAGACTGCTACCACCTTTTCTTTGTCTGTTACTTATTTATTTTCATTTTTTTGAGCTTTTTAGGAAAAAGTTTTTTATCCCCTCCCCCCATTACTCATCTTGACAAGGTAATTCACAAGTGTTCTAATGCTAGATTTGTATCCCAACATCAAGGCCAAGGCAAACTCTAGGTCAATGCAAAATACCTCAGACTAGCATTTGTCAGTTTGTTATGCTGTTCTCACTATTATAAGACTCATCAAGGGCTCTTATTTCTGCATACATGTACCTACTGCAATGACAATGGAATCCTGGCATTTTTGTAGACCAAGGTTATGTATCACCTCACTTTGCCAAAACTTTTGCTTTTCTCATTCTTTGCAGAAGACAAACTAAAAACCCCTTCTTATTCAAAACTTTAAAATACATGAAGAAACTGTGACATCCTCTGCTACTCTGGAAGATGACCCTCATTATTTGAGAGTCCCAGAAAAGAGTAAGCAATATGAAAAGGGGGAGAGACTCAAATAAGGATTCTGGAAGGATGACTTTATCCTTGTACAATGTACAACAGGATGCACAAACACTAAATATTCCTCTGGTTCAAATGACTGTCACCACCAAAGCTGACTCCATGACCTAAGAGTTTATTCTGAACTGATGGTGCTGGTAACAGGTGTTCCTGTTCAAAAGTGGATTCAAGAACTGAGTTAGTGGCAGAATCCACAAACCCACATCTCTATTTCAGTGTGTGAAAAAGCAGCGATGTGAGGGCTGACTGTTGCAAAGTACATCCTCCTCAAAGAAATACTGCATCTGAATATCTCTGCATTTCTTCTTTCCCTGTAACAGACAATGAACTAAACTCTCATATTGCATCTTCCACATAAGCATCTAGCAGATCCTCTTCATTCTCTGGTTTCCTAAGTCTGATTTTTATACTAAGTTAAGGGCAAAGATGTGGTTTAAATGCACTTAAGATGGCTGAAGGTTCTTTAGGACTTTGAAATGTCAAAGTCTTCTGAAAGTTTTTATTAGGCCCAGCACACAGAGAGTACTGAGAAGGTCTGGTTGGCAAGCAAATCTTTCTTCAAAGAGAGACTGCTGCATTGACAGTCTAGGACACAATATACAAAAGCAAATCAGATTCTTTCAAGGGACTTACCTGTGGCAAACATAGCAAGATCTATCTTTGTGAATTGGACATCCAGTGCCACCTCCAATTCCATACACATACTGATTGCTTTTGGAAGAATTTTCAGCAAAATAAATCCCAGCTCCAAACATGCCACCTATATAGGCATGCCTCTCATCAAAGCCTTTGTGAATGATTGCATTCACAAATGGGGAGCCTAAGAGAAAGGAAGTAAAATATTGAAAATACAGTACCCAGATTTTTGTATGCGTCACAATTCAATCACTCGTTCCCATTGTGCTGGGAACTATATAAGCCTTCCTTAGGAACATGCACTGTGAACTCTGCTCACCAGGACAAACTGTATTTGTGTACAGGAAAGATTTCAACTGGCTTTACCTTGCTAATGATAAGCTATCTTTCCTGGAATGCTTAATAAAACTAACTTATCAACTTATAAAACCAAGAAAACAAACAAAAAAAAAATCCCACCCCAAAACAATCCTTAACAGAATAAAGTTTGACCTTTAATCATTTTGGTCATATAGCTGATAAAACAGACTCGAGGAGGCACACTACTTAATCTTCATTCATAACTGCTTGAAATGTTTTCACTTACATCTTTGGCGTCTCCTTCGGGGAGAGACAAGCAGATGCAAATTTCTGAAGAATAATACAGTACATTGTATCATCCCTTGTGAAATATACAAACACTAGCTCATAAAAATCTCATGTAAAACCTGAAACCTACTTCCACTGAGGAAATTTACTTTGAGTAAGCAGAAACCCTCCAATAAAGAGTGCTGCTGATAAGATCATAAAGTGCATTTCGAATTCTCACCATGAAACAGCATCCTTTCATTGGCATGGTTATGATTCTCTTCAGAGACCTCTTTCCTTCTGTGCGTGTATCTTTCCCATAGTTTTTTGTTGCACACTTTCTGAATCTGAAACAGTCAAAATTACCAAAAAACTCAGTTCGCTTTACTGGACAGATGTATAACCCATAGCCACTGTACTACAGTTCAGTTCCACTGCCACTGGGATGATAACACTTTCCTTGGGACTCAATGAAACACAAATTGACTTACCCTGATTGTTGTTCTATGACAAGTAAGTCATAAGTATATACTTATGAATAAATTAATTTTACAGAGCTCCTTGTTAATAATCCTTAAATTAAATATGCTCTAATTTAAATTTAGCAGGCTCAGTCACAATTTTTCTTGACGCCAAATCACTAGTAAAAAGATCAATCAATAAATTAAGAAATGCCTTCCATGAAGATTTGTGAAGCACTTCTAAAAGAAAGTAAATTACATACTCCCTGCAGAGGTATGCTGGGCATTGCAAAGTCTTGTGCATGTAGATATACAATAGCAATTCCACTGTAACTTCAGTTCAGAATAGAATTTAGTAGTATTTACTTGTAAATCAAAATATTTATGATATTAATGAAAATTACCATTACTTTAGAGGGAAAACCACATAAATACAAACCAAATTTCCATTAGATTATTTAAACTCATCTACTGCCTGTTTCTTTACACTTGTTTGATGTGAAATCAAGCCAAAATAAAAGAGTTCAAAAGTTTTGATTTTCCTTCTTCTGTTTCTTTTCTGCCATTCTCCCTCAAAAGACACCCTCTTCTGCTTCATATAAAACCTCCTGCCATTTTCTTCAAATATTCTCCAGTTTTCAGTGACATCCTGCTATGTCAATTTCTTCCTGATTATTAACCCATAAATAGCTTTTCAGTATAAATCAAGTCTTTGAATTTCCCTGGAAAGTGATCTTTATTCTGTGCATGTCTCAGAATGGCACATCTTGTCACCTTATGGAACTCTCAACAAGTGTAGAACATTTTACAGATATATTACTTTTAGACAAAACTCCAAACGTGGAAAACCACTGGCCATAAAAAAAAACCAGGCACCTTTAAGATGTTGTATCTATTGAAGACTCCACCAGCATGTCCTCCATCTCTGTGCTCTCGGACAGTACTCTGCATCTGAAAATAGAGAATTTAAAGAGGATGACATTCTTTCAGAAGATACTCAACACATGTTTCCTTTACACAAGTCAAATAACAGAAAGAATTCATTACGTATTAACATAATTAAAAATCAAAAGACAAATGTTTAGGTGACTGGTTATTAAGTAATGTCAGATTTTGTGAATGCACAGGAATAGGTTTAATGATTTAAAAAAAAACCAATGTATTTTGACTCCATGGTCTAGTTTTCAAACTGGAGAAGATTGCCACTAATCTCTTTAAAATTGTCTTTGTTCAGAATTTTGCCCTGTGTGATTACAGCACTTTGAAAGGAAGTGATGTAAAACTGTCTATGACAAGCAAGCAATCAATTGGCAGCATAGAATTTATGTTATATTGAAGAGATTTCATATATAGCAGAGGTTTTAAAAATACAAGCAATAATAATGTAAGAAAGAAGAAAGTTACAGACATCATGACCACAGATTGTAAGTGGTGCAGTCAAAGCTGGTAGTCTGAAGTATCCTTATGCAAGTTTTACTTAAACTTAGTGATGTTTACTGCACTGTTAAACTGTCTAGCAATACTTCCTTATCTGGTTCTTTAGCAGCAATAGCAAAAATACTGAGAGACTACAAAGAATGGTATTTACCTCTTCTTCTACAGACTGAAATTCCTTGTCTTCGGTGGAAAGGTCTATGAGAATAGTTCCGCTAGCAGAAGTATTCAGAGTCAGGTATGGGTTAAGTCCTGTGAATGCAATAAAACACAGCAAAATGTATGTGAATGTAATAAAACAGTCTCAGAAACCACAATTGCTTTCTCTGATCTGTGGACACTGATTGATCCTTCTCAGCAAGAATCATCATTTCAGACACACTAACCCATTTATTCATGCTTAGCTCACTATACTAGCACACACAACACAGGAAATACTTGCAAACGCTTTGCTTACTTCAGAGTTCATTTCAACTCTAGGCTGTGACACAGCGAGCAACCAGTCCCTGTACAGAGTCTACAACTACTGGTGGCAAAGGCATCATGAATGGGAAGAGCAACTTGAAGCACTAATTATTACGAGTATTTTTCCCATGGTCATGCAGAAAGAACTGACAAAGAACTAAGTCTGTCAATCCAAAATGCTTGAGCCTGGTATTGGAAAGCTTAAAATATATTGAATGTTTAAAGGAAACTTCTCTATCTTTCCAAATATGAAAAAAAAAAAAAAGGAATTTTACACAGAATCCAGTGTCAGTTTGCATTGGACAGACTGCAATCACAAATGGCAAGTAATGGGAGTATAATTACTGGATATAAGAATATGAAGACAGTTTGTATCAAGTGTCTTTTCTGGCCATGGCCTTTCCAGAAAACTAAGGGGTGACCAGAATTAGACACTGGGTCTGCCATGAGCTCTTTCAAAGGAATAACTTGGGGAAAGTGGAAATTACAGATTCATGCACAGTCTGGAGCCTCATGTTAGCAGTGTGCAACTGGAACAGTGCTCAGGAGAAACAAAGTGGCAAGAACCAAAATAAAGCTCATCCACTACTAACCTCAAAACAATGATTATACTTCAGGAAGAGATGCCATATGTACAAATACACATATATTCAAAAATACATCAGACCTACTTAAAAGGCAAAGTATACAGTTAGTGGCTATGTAAATTTCAAACTCAAACAAGACACAAGGCCGAGATCACACCTTAAAACTAACTTTCATCCAAATTACTCAATAAGTCTGTCCAGAAAGACCTGACAATAATGAGAAAATTACGCAGATTCACTTAAATACTTCATTATCAGGAAAAGAATTATCTTCAGGTTGGTTCTTACTGTTTTAAGGAGCAAAAAGTAATTTAGACCTTGGAATAGTGACTCATTACTATGGAGTGAACATTTTAGAGTGAGATTTCACAAATGGTGAATCAGGAAGGGAGAAAATCCTACCAATTCTAATTTATTTCATTTCTATGAAACACAGCAAAACAGCAGTAAGTGGTATTTCAATTAGTCAAAGAAGAAAAAGAAAAGATTTGGAGGGTTTTATTTGCCTTCTCTGCAGCCATAGGTAAATGAAGCACACTGAATGATGACGAATTCACAACTGCTAGGACTGTGCTGGTATCAACAGTCCTGCACAGCTAAAGAGGCTTCAGCAGTAATTTCAGTGTAAGCTAAAGCTGTTGAACAAAGCAATTAGGTTAACTTTAGTTCACTGAAAGCACATCAACTCTACTTTTAAAGAGAAGTGTAAGAATTTCAGCTGGCTTTCTGAGTGAGCAGACAGCATTCTGTGGCAGGACCCAACAAACAGGACATAACAGGCCTGAACTCGTCAACAGAATGTGCTCTGCTCTTCAGAGTGCCCTGATGAAGATAAAATGCTCCCTATCTCAAGGAGCGTATGAGCATTTTGCATTAAATCAACACTTTACCTAAGTAAACAAAAAAGAGTGAGCACAGAGAAAAAATATAAATCAGAGAACTGAAAGGCAAGATTCACAGTAATTCACAGCATAAATAAAAGTACCCAAGTTTCACGTCAGAAGACATTCTTACCATTTATTACCAATTCTTTTTAATGAGATATAATTTGGAATAACATAAGTAATTCATAAAAATTGATTATGTAAAGGCAGTATTATGTGATAATTTAAAATAAGCATATACCTTGTTGTCCAGAAATAAGTCTTTCAACTCCTTTGATGATTTTATGCCTATGGCCATAAGCATTAATGCCAATTTCCTTCAATTCTTTGTGTCCCATTTCAACCAATACGTCCAATGTTATCTACAATGAAAGCAAGAGCATGTTTTTTGTACTAGAACAAATGCCAATGACAGTGGAAACACACCTCACAACAGCTGTGAGAAAAAACAAGTGTGAAAAGAACAGGAACATTAGAGGCTTCAGTGTATTATTTTCATATTTTACTCAACTGCTTTCTTCTAACTTTTTGTGTTCAGTAAACATGCTACAAACTACAAATTGTAACTTGCATTGTGTATGCATTATGTATGTAACTTGCATGTGTATCATTATGTATACGTTAATATATATGCATATATTTTAAGATATATTTTGTAATATATAAATTAAAAATCCAGTTACAGTACTTTCCTTCATCCAACTCATTTTGACTGTCACTCATTGAAAATCTGTCTTATTACATTATACTAACCAGTCACTATTTATTCCATTGCTTTCTAGCCCAGACTATCTGGAAATAAATATAACCACTTACCTGTTCTCTCTCAAATATGTCAATTAGATGTTCAAGGCCAAGGTTCCGCACAAACTGATTAATGCTAAAATCTACACCTGAAACTGGGTAAGAAGAAAAACACAATGTACACTCATACCTGTACTTTAAAATAAGGCATACACATCTGTCTGTGGCAACAATGAGAGAGGCAGAAATTCCTGGTCTTTTGCAGATGTAGATTAAATATCACTAACCAGTAGCAACTAATCTGCTATTCTACTTCCTTAAGAACAGTCTTTGCCAGAAAACAAGGCAACCAGCTACCAGAAATGCAAGTTACTAGAGAAAATATATTTACAAGTAAAATGTCATAGAAATAAACTTTTTAAGATACCTGATCTAAGAACAGCCTCTTAAAAACTAGATAAAGTTTGTAGTAAAATACTGCTTGGTATGCAGCTAAATGTCACTTGACTTGTCCCTTAAAACATAATTCACCATATTGGTTCTGTCCAGCAAAACCAAAAATTTTAAAGGCTCTGTAAATGGTAAAACAGTAAAATCTTATAATGCAAGACTTTCAGACTTCTGTTCCTCATTAATAACATCATAAGCAATCTAAATACTGCATATGCTATAATACCTCTATGAATGTATGGGAAACTTCACACCTTTGTGCTCTTTTCACCATTTGTTAAGAGATGTCATTCACTCCCGAGAAAGCCTCACCTTCTTTTTTCTCCAGAACAGTAGCTCCCTCTGCACAGTTTGTACCAACAACAGAGGGAAGTTCAGAAAAACTACCAGACAAGTTGTCAAGACTACTTGCAGCAGACAGACTGGACGGACTGGATGGAACAGAAGAGAGGGAATCAGCTGCAGAACCTGTAGTCTGAGACACACTTATAACCTGAGGTTTGTAGCAAGTCGGTAAGGCAGATGGAGGCATTGCTGCAGTCAGTAACGCACTGACATCGTCTGCCTGAAGAGCAGAAAACAACTCATTAGAACAGAGGAACACTTCTGCACAATGTTTTTTCCTAGAATGCACTGTCATTCTATCAGATTTCTTAAGTACACTGCAAAAAAATATAGGAAAAACATGCATTTTACACAGTGCAGCTTACAAATGGCCTTTTTTGCCAAGAGCATACATGAAACTGTAAAATGTCTGTACATAAAAGCGGTAAAAACGTAAAAAGCAAAGACTTCAGTATTTCTAAAAAAATGTAAGGGCAGTTAATTAATTTGCTATAAAAAATGAACAGAAGCTTCTACTGGCAACCAGAATTTATGAAACAAAACAGTTACTTTGAGAGTTGTTTTGGATTACATTATAATACTTAGAAAGAACACCCCTAAGAATTTAACAGCCAGATGGTTTCTTACATTTATGCTGCCAAAGGTTTGCTTATATTTTATTGTCACAATTTTTGTATTAGTCAAACTATAAGCCCTGAATTAAAAGCAACAAATTGCAACTATTAATTCATTTTGTTAGCATTTTGAGGTTTTTTCACCCACTGTCCCTACTGAAATAAGATTGCCTAAAGCAAGAAATTATTTAAAGACAGTTTATAAAGCTCTACTGACTTCCCTTGCCAGGCACATACAAACCCCACAGACACCACAGCATTTTTAATTTTGCAGAAGTGGTTGTATTACTGTTTTGTGAACAATAGTTTTAAATGAGGTGTCACATGCAGATAAGTACAGATTTCCTAAGACGAGCCTCATCACTTACAGTGACCAGGTCCAATGGTGTTTGTCCTTCTTGGTTTTTCAGAGTAGGATCAGCCCCATGTGCCAGTAACAAGGCACAAAGCTGAGTCCTTCCTTTCTGGGCTGCTTCATGAAGTGGTGTGAAAGCCCATTTGTCTGTAGCATTCACACATGCATTATATTTTATAAGTAAAGCTGCTACATCAACATGCTGGAAAAGTAAAAAACACCTGTTAAATTCCAAGGTACCACAGTGTACTAAAATATTTCAGAACTATTACTGCTATTTCTCTGTAATCAGATTAATTCTGACTTTTCTTGGAATGCATTTAATTACGATTTTAGAAAGTATTAAAGCAAGGTGTTTTCTTCCTCACCTGTGACATATCAGCAAAAAGTTAAGTAAGATTTCTTCTCTTGTGAAAGAAGGATAGAGTAAAACAAAATTCCAAATCCAGAGGAATCTGAAGGAAGAAAGCCTGATTCTGAACTTCCAGTTTGGAAAGTTCTCCAACTGTTTTGGTTAAAGACTTGATTCAAGGACAAAGATTCAGGAAGTTCACAAAAACAATTGCTGTCTCAACAGCATTCATATACATGAGATCTTCCTGATACAATCTGACTGGCACAGGTAAGGAAAGGCATTTTATATAACACCTTTCAGCCTGCTGGCTTTTTAGGCATTCATGGCCAGAAAACTCCATTCGTGACTTTACAAATTCGTAAGAGTCTTTACCTACAACATAACCTGTGATCTAATTATTCATTCTGTATCTTACAAATAAGATTACACTATAACTCAATAGCAAAAGCATTCCACAGAGGCTCAAAATGCTGTCAATGAAATGTACAATTAAAGAAAAAAAAAATAAAGTCTAAGAACGTGTGAGCTATTTACCCCATAAGATGCTGCATTATGCAGAGGAATCAAGCCTCCTTTATCCTGTGCATTCACATCTGCTCCATGCTGCAAAAGGTATTCTGCAACCTCTAAATTATTGTAACCAGCTGGAATTGCAGAATGAACAGAATTAAAACACCACCCCCTACAGGCTGTGGAGAAATTAATTATTAACTTAAATTACTTGAAAGAAAAGAAAATTGTCAGTCCCACTGATGACAGTGCAATACCTATTACGAAAGACATGATTACCTTAAGAGTATTTAGTTTTAAAATGTGTCAATAAACAACACAAGATCCTCTCTGGCTAGACAGAAGAGGAAAATAATTAAACAGTTTGAAAATCAATCTAAAATTAGTATGCGTAAGAACCTAATTTTTTTTAAAGAAAAGGTACTGAATCCTCCAGCTTGAGGCTACACTATAAACTTGTGTAGAAATAGAAAGTTCAGCACAGTAATTAGTAACTGATCAAACTAGTTAATTAGAACACTGACCTGCTAAATGTAGTGGTGTTGAATGCCGTCCTTGCGTGTCCCGACAGTTGACATTGTCAGGTGAACAGAGCTTTTTCACTCGGGCCAAACAACCTTTCTTTGCAGCATCTAGGAGAGCTGCATCTCCTCTAAGCAGGTCTTGAATATCAGTATCACCATCTTTAACAAGGTCTAGAGGAGTATTTCCATCCCTGTTTTTCTTTGTAGGGTCAGCTCCATGCTGTGCACATCAAAAACAGGTGGTAAGTATGTCAGCAGAATAAACATGCTGCATCTTAGGCATCGAATGCCTTAGGGAGCAAATATTCTGACACATATTGGAATCCTGCAGAGAGCCTTCCATTTACTGTGTGAAAAAGGACAACACAGGTACTAACTGTATCCCTTTTACTGCAAACATTTAACTACAATAATTTAGAAACCACAAATCAATGTTTAAAACATAAACGGACTTTGTAAGTTATTAAGAAAGAAAAGAAATTTACATCCCTCCAGCATATGCAATACCTGTAACAGGAGTTTGCAAATCTCGTATTTTCCTTTTGCTGCAGCTTCATGCAAGGGAGTGAATTTCCACAAGTCAGCCACGTTGACAACGGCACCATGTTTAACCAACAGCTCTGCAACTTCATAGTGACCGTATGAGCAGGCGTTATGCAAAGGGACAAGTCCTCTGGAAACAATTAAAAGAAGACAAAAACTCTCTTTAAAAACAGGGTATTTTTTCAACAACAATATAAGCCTAAAACACAATGCATCTTTGACCATATCAAACCATGACAAAATATTTCTCTACTCCCCCAACAGTCTAATATAGCAGGAGTGTCACCATTGAGCCAGAAATGACACAAAATCACTCGAAGGCTGGTTTGCAGGAGAAGGAGACTTTCATATGAAAGTACCTATTGCAGTAAAAACTTAACCAGCGGGGCACTAAAGAGAAGTAAAAGCACAGGGCCAGAGAAACTCTTGAGGCTCTAATCTTAAGTACTGCAAAATGCTTTTGAATATTCTTAGCATCTTCATTCTAACAGAAGCTTCCATGAAAATAAAAAAATGTCTTAAGAAAAATAGGATGCTTATCAGCTGGCAATATTCAAAAACTGATAGATATGATCAATTTCAATTGCCAAGAAAATATATATTCAAGCATTTACCCCTTATCTTTTGCATGTACATCAGCTCCATGCTGAAGAAGATACTCCACAACAGATACTCTGTTGTATCCAGCTGCAAAATGAAGTGGTGTAGACTGACGTCCTTCAATATCTCTGCAGTTCACACTCTGGACTGTACACAGCTTCTGTGAATTTCCCCAAACAAAACACATCACTAAATATAGTGCTGACACCTCTAATTCAGTCATAGAATAGTGTTATACACATCTAATTTTGCATAACTGTTTTCAATAAAAAGCCATTATTTTTACAGTCTTTACTTTTTACGGATTTTGTCCTGAAGAAAAAATCCACCTGCTCCCAAATCCACACCTCTGACTTTAGTTAATGCTTTTTACATAAGGCAAACAATCTGGAGGTTTGGTTTGGAAAACTGTACTCTGCAATCTGTAATAATTGTGCAATACAAAGGTTTTAGGACCAATCATAATTCTAAAGCAGGCAGTGAAGAATTGTTTGATTGTTTGCTTTGAGAAATTATACACTGACATATAATTCTGTGCTACTTTGGCTGGCGTGGAGTTACTTTTCTTCACAGTGGCTGGTATGGGGCTGTGTTTTGGATTTGTGCTGCACACAGGGCTGATAATACAGACATGTTGCTGTCACTGCTGAGCAGGGCTCACACAGCCAAGGCCTTTTTGTGCTGCCACGCTGGCGAGGAGGCTGGGGGGAGACACAGCCAGGACAGGTGACCCCAACTGACCAAAGGGCTGTTCCAGACCAGATGGCATCGTGCTCAGTACATAAAGTGGGGGAACAAGGAGGAAGGGGGGAACACTTGTAGTGATGGAGTTTGTCTTCCCAAGTCACTGTTATCCAAGATGGGGCCCTGCTCTCCTGGGGGTGGCTGGACACCTGCCTGCCCATGGAAGTAGTGAAATAACTCCTTGTTCTACTTTGCTTGTGTGTGTGGCTTTTGCTTTCTCTATTAAACTGCCTTAATCTCAGCCCATGAGTTTTCCAGCTTTTACCCTTATGATTCTCTCCTGATCCTGCTGGGAGGAAATTGAGCAAGCATCTGTGTGGGGCTTGGTTGCTGGCTCAGGATAAACCATGACAAATTCCCTCTTATTTTTAAGTAGAGGTTTAAGCTTACTTTTACAGTATCCACATCTCCAGCCTTGGCAGCCTCCAGTAACTGTCGATCTGCATCAGAATTACCTAATGGGATACCTTCTGCAAAATAATTGAAATTGCATGACAAGGTAAGTGTAGGCAGTGGAAGAAATTTGTTAAAACAGGAAATAACTAGAGTTTTTTTAAAGCGAAATAATTGAAAAAGTTAACCAATTACCAACAAGTTTTGTCTCTGTTTACTATCTACAACTATAGCTGCTAGAGCTAATGGTATTTGGGAAGTTGACTTCAGCAACGTGCTTCCTGTATGTTTTGGAATATTGTGGAACCAACACAGCATTCTTATTTCAGTTTCAGAATTAGACCAGATCAAGTTTATGTATGTATTATAATGCCCAAACCTTACTCTTGAAAAATCCACCTACACTGTTGCCTCCACTCACAAATGCAAATCAAGCATTTTTTGTTTTAGAAACTCATTTTCTACTTTCAAGATTCCCCCCATCCTACTGTCAGGATTTTCATAAAATTCTTCCAGGTGACTATACTCCAAAATCTTCATATCTGATTATCCAGACAGTAAATGATATTGTTAAGTATAGAGTAAAACATCATCTAGTACTTTCTTTCACACATTTTTTTTTTTTTGTTGACTAGTCTCCACTGTTATTTGGCAGCACTTGGAACAGCAAGTAAAAAGAAGCAACACAGTGCATGTTGAATAACTCAGCATACCTTGTAGAAGCTGTTGCACACTTTCAGTCCCCATCTGTAAGGCTGTAAAGCCCTGCAGAGACACGATGGAAGGATCACATCCAGAACTCAGCAGCAACCTGCATGTCTGAAGATGACCACAATGTGCTGCTCTATGAAGAGAGGTCTGGCCAAGATTATCTAATGCATTAACCTAAAAATAACATAGACAAGAAATACCACCATCAAGTTAGTATTAAGATGTTTTCATTGCTGACTGGGAACATTTCACAAGTAGTATCCTTACTCTAATAAAAAGAACATATTAAATATATTTCCAAAGGTGATGACATTTCAAACAAAAACAGCTCATAAAGTAGACCCCTTCTAGAGGCATCAGAATAATCCAGTGCATTTTTACCACAAACAGGAGTAATTCACTATTTTGCTCCTCACAGTACAGATGTTCAGTGCTAACATGTAGAACAGCTTCTACCTTGCATTAGCTTATTGTGCTTTCTTAGACTGAGGACTTCCTATCTGTTGGCTCAGCCAAAGTATATTCAACAATTTAAAACTTTGCACCCAAACCTTACTTTCATTCCCTACTCTTCCTCTGGTTTTTCAAACTTCATAGCAGTTAGGCTACAATCAAATTTCTATGAGAGAGATTCAACTGTCAGTCTTGGAGGGTTCAAGCACTATAGGGTCTCTCCTTTCCACATTTTCTTTTTGTGCAAGTTTGAACTAAACATTGTGACATGAATTAACATTTTGCTTTAATTTTACTTTTTACTGCATACAACATCATGTAAAGTCTATGTGTCACACAGTTCAGTTTAGCTTCTTGCTGTTCATATACACTCCCCACTTTTTTTCCTTATGTATTCCATTATTCCTGCTGGACAACAAAGCACTGAGTAAGACACTTTGAACGTTTTCCATTCCCAGAGAGAACCATGTCTGCACTTCTTAAAAATAGGACCAAACCAACAATGATTCTGTAATGTATAGGGCTGTACTGATGGATTGATGGCCTGTAGCTGAAGTCTACAAATCTAGAAACCTCCCAAAATGAATTATTTTACAAAAACTTCCACTCTCGCAGTGTGAAAATCTGTACAGTACGTGAATGCCAACAGAAGTATGATACTCATACCTTAGCTTCATGTTTCACAACTACTTCAACAACATCATTATGAGCTTTTTCTGATGCCACATGCAGAGGAGTCAAGAAGCTTAAAAAAAAAAAAAAGAATAATTCAAAATGTATTTTGCAAAACCCTCTAAACAAACATAAGAACATTCATTTGTAACCACTCACTCTTTTGTTTTTTCATTGATATTGGCTCCTTTCCTCAGCAGCAATTCACATACTTGTTTCCTCTTAGGATACGGAGATGCAGCAGCACAGTGCTGTAAACATTAAAAAGTTTATAATTAACAACCAGCTAGCAATATCCAGGTTTTACTACCTGCTGATCAACTGGCAGTTAAGAGCTGGTGGCATACAAAGACAACAGGAAAAAAACCCCCAAACGCTTAGACGCTTATTAGTTTGGAAGATTCCACATGGGCTTTTGGATTGACTCCGGTATTTTCAACAACTCCCCTTTCTAATAACTGCTGGAAACCACCGAAACAAAACTAACATACATAGCTTGCTGTTGCTTAAAATGAGACTATTCTACAAAACCCAGTCATTTAGACAATCTAAACAGCCTAAATAATTTATCTTAGTCTTAACATTAACTTTAATAACAAAATATCAATCAGTGTTATTTGCTTAGCTAGACACTGGGTATTCCAGGTTGGTCTGAATTACAGCACTTGACACTGCAATATTTGTTGCTAAACTATTACCTAGTCTGCTTAGGTTAGCTAAAACATATACCAAACCATTAATAAATCCTGAGATATTACCAATGCTGTCTCATGTGTCTGAGGATGCTTGAAGTTCACTGTTTCCAAAGAAAGATGTTTCTTTATACGAGCTACATCCGATTCTCTTGCAGCCTGCAGCAGTGAGTGACCTTTGAATTCATCTTAAAAAACAAAGAAATATATAGCAGAGGGTTACACTCCTTGGCTCAAGAAGGATCAAGAGAATTGCTTCTTTCAGTTAAAAAAAAGAAATTCATTGTATTCAGCAGACCATGGAGCACACATTTCCAAGTCTGACTCAAGCTATTACATCAATTGACAGAACTTGTTAGTTAAGTCAAAACACTACACAAATTTTGCTTTGTTTCTAAACCAAAGCCAGACACATCCAAACTGGCTGCACAAGATCTATTTCACTCACCAGTCTGTAGGTTCTACTGTACATAGGTACTAACTCAGGCATATAAAAATCTCTACTTCTGACCTATTTTTGGAAAACCATCTCTAGATGCTTTCATGAAGCCTAGTGTAGTATTTACTGACAATTTTTGCAAATATCCCAGAAAGTTATTGTTTCCCCACTCAAGGACAGAACGTGAGGTCACTCTTTAAATTTGCTGGACAAAAATCAATGTCCTTCATCAGTTTTTTTGAACTTTCAGTGACTGTGGCACACTCAAATGTATTCAGCATTCTAAACAATTAACATCTTTCTTCAAAGAAAAAACTGTAGAATTAAAATTAATATTTCAACAATCTTGATGCAACGACAGGAACTAAAGTACGGGATATGAAAGTGTATTGGCAAGGTCATGAGGGAAAGCATTTAATGGCGGAAAATCTACAAAATCCATCACAACCACTTGACTATAAAACTGACAGTAAAATTATTTTAAATGCCTTCATTCAGAAAATATAGCAGTTTCAAATTATAAACAGTGAAATATACTGTTAACACTGCACAATTACTGTTAAAGTGTAAGCATTTTCCAAATCTGGTTTTTGGCAGGTCACTGTCTAGGGAATCTAATTACACATTGCAAGCTGTAACTGCAGAACTGATCCCACTTGATACTCACATGCTAATCGTTCTTTTAATTGGGGTGTTGGAGCCAAATCAATGGTGCTTTTGTTGTGACAGTTCAACAGTGTTGGGTCAGCACCATAACTTAACAAAAGAGAACATACTTCCACCCTGTTCTTAGAAGCTGCTTCATGCAGAGGGGTGAATTGCCACAGATCCATTGCATTCACACATGCTCCATGCTTGAAATGGAAAGGGGTAAAAAAAGATGCAATCAAAACCAGGATGTCAGAAAAAGTTTATGTTATTAGTTTTAATACAGTAGACTGTTAAAATAAAAATCAATGCTTATATGCAAACTGTTACCAAGACACTCATTTTCAATCTAACACAACATTTCAGCACATTGTGGTTTTTAATCACCTGGTGTCCCACAGGTATATTCAAAGAAGCCAAAGGCTAGCTAGCCTTTTCAGGCTTTTTCAGAAAGGAAAGGAGCTCTGCTACACATCAAATCAGAGAAAGAGAAATATTCACATTCTCCAAATCACCTGTGAACAAGTTCTGGTTCTTTTCAGCCCTAGAAAATGCCTGGAGTGACCAGCTGCACTAAGATAAATGTATGTTCTGTGAATAACCCCCAAGATATGAGTGCCACAGTATCTCAGCTGAGATGGGCACTCAGTTTCAATTCAAAACATTGAAGTACAAGACCCTACAAGTAACACTCCTGGATGAGTAATGTATGTGTAATTCTTCTCCAGTAACATTTTGATTGTACTTCAAGTTCAGTCTGTAAGCAAGTATATGCTCTTTCCCATTGCTTCTCTTAAAGCTGTATAGCTTTGCAAAAAGTAATTCAGAATTCTCTAGAGCACAAATCCAATGCAGAATACAACTCTAGCTAAATAATTAAGACACACAGTAGTGTATAGGCAAAAGCTCATTTGTGGGGTTGTGTCTAGTACCACCATTGTAAAAATTCACTTTACAACTGGCCCCTGATGTAAAAAAAAAAATCATGGCTATTTATATTTACTGCAATGTAAGCTTATTTCGTTAAGTTTTTACAACATTTTTTGCTAAACAAGTAGAAAGATACATGGAATTAGTGGGGGGCTGAAACACACATAGCAGAACAAGAGCTATTCTCTGAGCAGCCAAATGTCTGGAGTTAGATAACAGAACACTCTCAGTTGTTATAACAATCTTGATTTGCTGTGGCAGCTGAGAATAGGCACAGCTCAAAACTCCTTTGGTGGAGTACACATATTATGCTGCAGCCCACATCTTCAAGCCACTAGTTTAATGTGTATACTTATCTTCAAGACTAACATAATCCAGACACACTGCTTCAGTTCCAAGAGTTCCCTTCTGTTAGGAAGACTGACAGGTTTCTCTTTCTTTGGGATAAAGCCTACAATTCAGGGCCAGAACTGATACTGTAAAGTTAATTTCCTCAAAAGACTAACTTCTCTTTAATTTTAAAACATTTACTATCTTTACCAGTATTCTTTTTAAATACCTCTTATTGATGTGTCGTCTAAAATATTCTTCTGCTCTTCTGCTGTCAAACTCAAAACATCACTCAGCTTGTAAGGGGTTTTTCGGTGCTTCTTGGGTTGTTTTTTTTTGTTTTGTTTTGTTGTGAGTGTAGAAAGATTGAGATAAGCAGTACTTACTTGGTGGTATGAAAACAATCAACTTTGGAGCAGAGAGAATTAAAAACAGAAAGCACATTTATAAAGAAAAAGCTTCCTCGCAAACAGAAGATTCTGTGGCTCCAGCTTAATAATCACTAACACGTAGAGCAAAAGCAATTTATCATTAAGTTTTGTAAATTTACATAAAAAAATATGCAACTTGTCTTAGTCTATTATAAACTGTTCTTTTTTAATAATATGCAATCTGATCTCTTCAAAGACTGACCTTTACTAGAAGCTCTGTTACTTCATAATGACCATAGGAACAGGCATTGTGAAGTGGCACCAGATCTCTACATAGAAGAAAAAGGAGTAGGATGATTATTTTCGTACACATATATTAATTTCAAATGCATGTAACACATTGCAACTGGTACTATGCTTCATGTTGAATATTTTACAAAAATAATATAACAAATGTTCAAACGAAACTACGGGGAAATACGAAGCTGAAGAAGCCAGAAAATCCCATCAGGATTTATCAGAACAGTAAACACCTACAATAATCAGAAGATGAGAAGTGAATTGCATTGTCTCACTGCAGATGAAGTGGTTCCACTCAGACTTGGAACCCTAAGCAGGAAGAACTATCTGCAGGGGACGTTCAGGAGTGACCCTAATTATATCCTTTTGACAAAAACAGTGCTGTAAGATCTCCTGTGAAAACTAATCAAATCGCATTTTTGTCCTAACGGAAAGGTTAAAGGTGACAGAACAGTCTAAAGGTGGAAATTCTTTGTGGTTAAAACAGTATTACTGCTCTTTACTTCACCTCAATTTTTAATGGATTCTGTTTGTTCTGAACAAAGGAAAAAGGAACCTACCCTTTATCCTTAGCGTGTACATCAGCTCCATGCTGCAGCAAGAGCTGGACTATTTTTACACGGTTATACCCAGCTGCTAAATGTAATGGAGTAGACTGAAACAAGAGAATGGAGAATAAATCAGTAACACAAAATCAAGGTTGAGCTGCTATTTCTTTTTCCACAACTTGTTATCTGTACTAAATGCTGAAGTCCTTCAAGACTTACAAGCTTAAAAAAAATCCCAAAGTGCTTGAATCAGACATTTGATAACTGTGTTCACCGTTCACTAACTACTCTTCAAGTCCACATAAACACAAATCCCAAATTTACTCCATCACTAATACAAAGGCCATTTTTGGTTTTTTAGCCTACCATAGCTATAAACACTCTGCCAGCACAAACTATATCCTTGTGAATGGGGAAGTAGGAAGACCATTAGCAACAATGACAGTTAAAATATGAAGAAGTCTTTCTGCCAATCAGTGTAAGTTTAAAAATTAGGATCAGCAGCACTAAAGGCAGAGCTACAAATCAGTGAGGAGGACTCTTATCCTCTGCAATTACAAACCCATCCACTGAACCAGATTTTTACAGTTCTTAGAGGATGAGCCTCATAACCAGATGAGAAAACAGAGATGCATCAGTGGTCTGGAGATCCCAGTATCTTACCACAAAGCCCCACAAAGGGGAAGCAAACTAAATCAAAACTTGGGTGAATGAGTACAAATACTTCATGAGAATAATGATGCCAAAAAGTGATACTCAATAACCTGAACCTCTGTGGCTTGGGGCTGAACCCAGAAGACTCGGGATTTTTCAGAATGGAGATTCTGAACATTTTAATGTATTTTTTTACCATTACTTACAGCAGTGAGCAGCTTGCTCCTGAATCAGGAGCAGTAACTTGCCTAAGGGTGCATGTCAAATAAAGTGCCTGTGTGTTTCTCCCTGATAGGGACAAAAATCTGTGAAAAGGCCTTGCTTCTTTATCACTGCAGATATGAAGGTCAAGCAGAACCTTCAATTGAGAAGGTGTTTGTTTATTGCTCCTATATAGAATTACTTGCATAGTCCTTTTAAGATTAAAAAACAAACAAAAAAAGCTCAGCTGGCTGCTAGAGAAGTGGAATCTTATTTTCCCATATACAGGGAAGAAAACAGATTTTATGTTTAACATTTTTAAAATCTGGTCAAACAATAACTGGATCATGTAAGAGATAACTACTTTTAAATCAAATTCAAAAAAAATACCTTTCTGCCATCACTTGCATGACAGTTAACATTTAATGGTGTAAGAAGAGACATCATCTTTTCCTCATTTCCACTCCTGAAAAACAAGATGTGAAATGAGCAGAAATATTCTTATCACAACTTTTAGTAGCTTATTCTGGTTTTGTATTTTTCACTGTGATAATGTTCAACAGATCTGAAGCAACATGTCTTCCTCTGTATTGTCAGCATTAAAGAAAAAGCAAAAATGCATTTATGCAACTACTTTTGTAGCTTCATTCACAGAAAACAGGCAAAGCTTAGCATCTAGATGGAATGCAAATTCCACAGACTACATATCTGTATATTAATTACACTAAATTCTGCAAATATAACTAATTCCAGTTATTTTCCAAACATACATACCTGGCACTTTCTAAGAGTTCATCTTTCTTGTATTCACCTAGAAGACAAAAGGGCTTTCTTTAGCTGTCAAATAAATATCTGTATGTGAAGTTCACAACTTACCCTCCTCTTCTAAAATTTTGGAGAACCTAAGTGCTAGAAGTACTTACAAATACTCTTTTCAGTTATTAAAGGAAGATTTTAAAAAAGAAGAAGGGTGAGTTTTTACACAGCAAGTATTGAGAGGACAAAGGGAAATGTGCTCAACCTAGAAGCGGAGAGACTTAGATTAAATGTTAGGAGGAAATTCTTTACTCAGAGGGCAGTGAGGCACTGGAACAGGCTGCCCAGAGAAGTTGTGGATTCCCTGCCCCTGGTTGTGTTTAAGGCCATGTTGGATGGGGTCTGGGCAACCTGGTCTAGTCAATGTTCCTGCCCATGACAGGGGGTTGGAATGATGTGGTCTTTAGGGTCCCTTCCAACCTAAGCCATTCTATGGCTCTAAAAATTTGACAGTTCACTACTGAATTAGTATGATAAACTCTCCAGAACACATGCCATGACTGAGATGATGAAAGCCATATGGGAATTCTATTTAGAATTATAAACCAGACACAAGTTAAAGTAGTATCAAAAACACAAGCTCCAAACTACTGTGTTACATCAGCTCAACTGTTACTAGTCCTAAAGAAATCTAAAGATTATCACTTACCAGTCAGCACTGCTTTTGCAGACGGGTCTGCTAAATCCAAAGCTGTTCTTCCATCTGTGTTCCGAATGGTTGGTTCAGCACCGTGCTGCAACAGTACTACAAAAATGCCAAAGTTTTCCATGAGAAAACAATTCTACAGGACAAGGTTTATGAGACATATCATTACTGTAATCTCCAAACAAAAAAAGAAACATTCTGACTTCCTTTTCCAAATTTTTAATGTCAGCATTCTGCAATGTCATCTGTGACCAGTGTATCTGATGAAACATGTCTAGACACATTTTAAGAGAAAAAAGCAGACCAGAAAGAGAACAACCACAGACTGACAAGAGCCAATCTCAGCTGAAAGCTTATGACTGACCCACCACAAAAACTCAGCAGCCAGCTCCAGAGCATGCTGCCCCAAATCCCGTGCTCTCCTAACCTGCAGACAGCAGTGGCAGGCTGTGCATGCTGCACCCAGCCAAACAGGCAATCTTATCTGTACGGCTCTCTAGAGCTTTACAGCTCTCTTAAAGTAAATGGCAACAAACCACACAATCAAGAAATGTTTCCTGACTACATGTCTAACTTTCTACCTCTTCCTTAAAGAGCTCCTCTTAAGAACTGTGTAGTTAAAACTAATAGTCAATATAATTGAAGTTTTCCCATTCTTAACTAATTTAACACAGCTGCTACACATAAGATAGATTGAATCCATTATTAAGATTACTTTTGGTCTTCCCACTGCACTGCGATCAGAAGCAGAAGGCAGCATAAGAGTCTAGGCTGAACTAGAAGAGAATTTAGCTCCATCATGTCACTTTAAAGCACTTTCCCCATGTTGAACCTTTATAGGTAGACAATTATAAAAAAAGATCCAAAAACCTGTATCTTGTAAAAGTGATATATGAATTGAAGTTTATGAAAGATGTTTACTTTTAACCCTTGTATCAGCCATAGCTCCACAGAGTGAAAATGGTCTTAAAAGGGTTCTTGATTTTTCACAGTGAAAACAAGTGAGTCAGTCACAGGAAGAGTGGGAGAAAATTACCAATGCAGACATCTGTCTTCCCCTTAATGGCAGCTTCATGAAGGGGAGTGTAATTCCAATTATCTCGAGCATTAGGATCCGCACCGTGCCGCAAGAGCAGATTGACAACTTCAGCATGGCCAAAAGAGCAGGCGTTGTGAAGGGGAATAAGGCCTCCATCATCTCGTGCGTGGACATTGGCACCACTCTGAAGTAAATATTCAACTACATCCTTCCGACCAAAACCTGCAAGAGGAAAGGGGAGAAAAGGCTTCAGGCTGGGGGAAGAGCAATTCCTGCCCCAGACGTGCAGATTAAACCAACAAACTTCAACGACAGTACCCACTCCTAAGGACAATTACAAGTGGCATGGTTTACTAAAGAAGTATTTACAAACCAAGGATGTTTCTGAAACTCTTAAAAATTAGATTGAATTCAGTAGAAAAGTAATATTAAAGATTACAGAACCAATACCTTGATAGGGTTTCCTCAAATTTCAGCTGTATCTTTCATACTTATATAATGGCAAATGAATTAGGACATCAAACTTTATCTAAATTTGCTTTACTATCTCCATGAGGCCAGAATGCTTCAGGATTTCTGCTTGTAGCCATTATACCCAGCTGGTTATGTTCCAAAGGCCACCTTAAAGGTTCCATGAAACACCAATGATACAAATGTTGGCTTACTAGCACCTTGCCTACAATAGAACCACAGACCCTACAGCAAATTCACTTTTGAGTCTCACCATGCCACTTACCCACCTGACCTCTCCTAACAGAGAACAGAAGCTCAGGATACTTTGGATAAGAACTGCATCAGACACATGGTCCATGCAAAACCAATTTATCTGCACAGGCACAGTAAGTCATATTCACTGCACATGCAAGCGTATTTCTGCTGCCAAAAAAAAATATTAATAGGTACCCCCATGCAGCCTTATTGTCTATTTTACATTATATGCATAATGCTTCTCATTCCTAAATATGTTCAGCTATTCTAAGTTTTATAAATACTGTTATTTTTCTTAAATGTGTTTTTATAGTTTCTTCAAGCTTTCAAAAATTCTGTTCATAGTTTGAATACATACTCAAAACATACTAAATTATTTTGAGAAACTACCCAAAAGAGACATTCACATGTGCTGGAGTCCCACAAACACATAATCAAAACTGTTATTTGATGACAGACTGCTTGGTATTTTCTTCTGAGTACCAAAAAATGTTCTCCAGGACTGCTGCAATTATGTTACAAAAGACTCTGATCAAATTCTTTGTTATATAACTGGTAGCTAAACCACTCATTCCTGTACAGAACGCATTCCTACCCCTCAAAGTATTGATGTAAAGCCACTTTTTTACAGGTAAAATTCCTCATCAGGAATCAACATCATAATTGCAAATCAGCTGTAGTAAACCTTATTACAGGCACAGAGAATTCCCTTGGATCCCTCTATTTAATATAGAGGCTCAATCAGATACAATTCCTGAGCAATCCACAGCTTCTCTCTCAGCAAAGCCTTCATCTGTACAGTATCTTCAGTACAGCAACACCCCTATAGCTAACTTAGTGTGGATGAAATGAACTCTTTTGTATCACACCAAGTTTTGTAACTTCTCTCCAGCACTGAGTGCACAGCAGGGATTCCTTACTTCCTTGGGGAAGCATCTGTACAACAGGGCACCATATATGGAAGGGGAATTATTTTCCCATTACTTTCTGAAGGATGCATGAGTACAGAGGAAGTGGCCAAACTGCACAATGGCCTCTGCTGTTTTTCCTGACAGTGGAAAGCAGGGGCAGCCTTTGCTATCATGGGAAGGCAGTCACTGCCTACTCTAACAGTTCCTCTTTACCATTAGTTGGCTCCAGTAAAAACTATTTCAACACTTTAAAAAACCCCAACATTGTAATTTTTAAGATGTTTTTAAGGTGTTTTCTTTAGCTCTTGGGCTTTTATCAAAAGACCACCTAAATGGGATCACACCTTTCAAATGTGCAAGGTAATGGTCTTATCATCATGAACTCTGTTTTTTATTGCCAACAAGAAAGGCTGGCTACTCAGAACCTCGACACTCTTCTACCACCCGTGACAGCTGAGCAGCTCACTGCACTTGTTTCCTGGAAAGTTACAAATTTTTAGCTGACAATTCGCAATTATTAATCATAGCAGAAATGTACAACTGTGTATAATCCAGAAAACATATTTATTTACAATCACTGTGGGTCATAATTGACATTCACCTACTTCTGATGGGATAAAAAGCTAACAAAAAGAACTCAAATTCTTCTCCCCTACCCTGGGTGTTCATATTTTTAATGAAATTGAGATTGCAGGAAGGGCATTTTGGTACCTTCCAAGTCCTTATAACCTTGGGATACTTTGAACTTTGACATATACTGTGATGAAAAAGACTGACTTGAGGAAGTATATGCAGTTTATGATGGGAGAGGATGGAGCCTCTTTTATGGTGAAGGATGATGAGTTCTTGACTAAACCTTCAGGATAACTCAACTATCACACACACAGTTGTGCACTACAAAATCCAAAGAGCAACCTCCAGCAAAACTCCAATATGTATATGGACATTTCTATGTATATGTATAATATATATGTATAATGACATTTCTAGGGAGAGCTTAAAGCTTTTTTTTTTACATCTTTTACTTCAAAATCCACCTTTACAAACTGACACACGAAAAAAGAGGAATAGGGTTTATTCTTAAAAAAATTGTTAAGTAAGATCTGGGAAAAGACTTAAAAAATAGAACCCAAGTTCAGACCCAGAATGCCACTAAAAAAGGAAAAAAGGGCAATACAAAACATGGTGACGTGGTGTATTTCAGCTCCAACTCCTCCATAAAAGAAGTCTTGAAACTGAATGAAACTAGTCAGAGAAGTTTTGTAATGTATTTTCTAAGAACACCCATAAACAAAGCCGGAATACAGATTTTTGCTTTTACTTCCTGGAATGTGACTCCTTCAGAGGCAGAGACAAAAGAAGAGAGTATTATTCCAACTGTGAATAATAGGGGAAAGGCAAAACCAAACAAAACCAGTCAGGCCCAAATCCAAGAGCTACTTTTGTCCACCTTTCACACAGAGCCTATTGCAGGTGGGCTGACAACAGCAGAGTTCGACCTGAGGGAGCAAAGAGAGTTCCCTGGAGAAATCACACAGGCGTTTTCTGTCCCTTGTTACCCAGAAACTCTCAGCATCTCCTACGGGCCACTGAGAGGAGCAAGTCATTTCTCTGTGCCAAGTGGGAAGAAGACTCGGGATGACAAAAGTGTCTCCCATTTACACACCAACCTGTTTAACCTTAGAAATCCAACAACTACGTGAACTTATGGCTATGCATTTTTTAAAGAAAAATCTTTCGAGAGATCAGGAGTTATTTCAAGTCAAGACAGATCACTCCTGTTGAGAGAGATAAACCAGATCATTATAGTGAATGAGAAACATCTTAGGCAAAAAAAAAGCCCTAAAATAACCGAAAGCAAATAAATAAATAAAAACTACCCCTCACTTCTCCAAAATGCTCTAAAACACACACAGCTGTTTAGAAGTTCAGAGTTTATAAGTGGACAGGCAGGATTGCTGCATATAAAAAAATAGCTACAAAAATTGTTTTCCTCTGACAGGATATTTTAAGTTGTCTCCTGAGTTCTCTTGCCGATTAAGCTTCTTGAATTTATTAAATACTGCTGTCCTGAGCAGGCTTTCAAGAACTTAGACCTAAGTCTGAGTCAAGCTCTCTTAACAGGAGGAAAGGACACCTGAAGCAGAAACCTTTACCAAGACAATCTAATAAAGAAATAAGCATCTTTGTTACTATCCATATTGATTAGCTGAAAAGAAGCTGCTGTTTTCTGCAGTCTGTCAGCCTTGGAGTCCTACATCTAAGGCTGTAATTAAACAAAAACAACCAACATGAAAACAACAGTCACAGTCAGGTCTTTGTCTGAAAAGGTGGGATACAATCTTCTGGCCAGTTACCAGTGAAAGCAGTTGTACTGTGACGTCAGTTTTGCTTACTTACGTCCTGCCATAACAAAGTCCATTTGTCAAAGATAAGACCTCAAAAAGCTCAGAAACGGTGTTATCTCACAAACACCTTCACGCGTTCGATTCTAAAAATGCACAGGCCCGCTGAAATCCATGAACGTGGGACGTGTCCCTGTCAGAGCTCACGTGTCACAACACGAACAGCACGAACCCCACTCCAGGTGTGTCCTCAAAGCCAGATGCGGTTTTTTGGTTTTTTTTTTTTTTTTAAGGGAAAAAAAAAAAAGGAAAAAGGAAATAAGCGAGCAGACGCAGCTGTGGCGCTCGGTGACCCCTCCGTGTGGGTGCCCCCGGCTCGGGGCCGGGGGCGATGCTCAGGGGCCGGCGGAGCGCTCGGACCCCGGCGCTGCGCCCGGCCCGAGCGGCGAGGCCCGAGCGGCCCGGCGCTGCCCCGCGGCCCGGCGCGGTGCCCCGGGGAGGCGGCGCTGCCGCCCGGCTCCCCCTGCCCCGGTACCTGCGGCGAAGTGCAGCGGGCTGGACTTCCTGCCCGCCGTGTCCCGGCTGTTCACGTTCTCGGGCCGCACCAGCCGCTTGACCCGCTCCACGTCCCCGTTCCTGCAGGCCTCGAACAGCTCCCGGGCCGGCTCGGCCGCCGCCGCGCCGCAGCCCGGCGCCTCGGCCGTGCGCAGGCGCGCGCGGCGGGAGCCTCCCAGCGCCAGGCCGCGGTGCTGCGGCCCAGCCCGGCAGCGGGCCCGGCCCCGAGCGGCGCCTCAGCCGCAGCGGGACACCGCTCCCTCGGAAGGGATGGTGAGGAGCGGAGAAAAAATACAGCACCGGCGACCCCTCCCAGAAGAACAAATGTGCCTTTGGTGCTTTCAGTAATTAATGTAGGGATTTTTCTGTTCAGGGATTTTTTTCCCTCTGCGAAGCGTGTAAGACTGCGTTTTGGTGCCAATGGCTCCGTGCTCCCTGCACAGTTGCTTATATAGGAAAATACTGTGACTCCGAGGAAGTTCAGAGCTTGCATAGTAACTATGAAATGGAAATTATACAACATAAATGGCATGGTTCTCTTTATTAATTTCGAAAAACAGATATTAAAAAACCTGTTAGTTGACTTGCCAGTTCAAGGTTTTGGAAGAGAACGGAAAGTGTCCAGTCCCTCCCGGCCCCTGCAGTAACTGGAAGAGACAGTTGATAAGTCTGAAATGTGTTTTTTTCACTCACACCATATTAAAACACTTACTTTGGAAAAAGTAATTGAATAGAGTCAGTACCTTCCTGTTGCAAATGCACAGATGAGTACCTCCAAAGTCAATTCACCTTGCAGACTTCTGTCACATTAGGAAATTAAATGACTTAAGTACAAGGAAACAGATCTAGCACATTTGTACAGTCTAGTCACTTCCATTCTGTCAAACATCCCTGTCCCTGAAACAAGGCAATTACATCCAAAATATCTCTCCCTGGTCCATGTTAATGGCTAAACTGCACCCTGGAGGTTTTTTGGGGGAGACTACAAGCTGTACCAGGCTGTCCCATGCTAGTGACAGATCAGGGTCTGATGCTTGTGTCCATGTGTGTTCAGTTTGGTAATTTACACACAGCCACAGCAGCAGTGTGACAGAAGAATGCAGCCAGCACAGGGCAGAAACCACATGCTTGACAAGCACGATGCCTCGGTCATGTGTGTTTTCTGTAATCCCACTGGCTTTCTTCTGTGCCTCCATTGAAATTTCAAGCTGTGCTCAGCAGGCAGGGAATAGCCAGAGTCCCACACATACATAATTCATCCACTGCTTTGCATGGGGCCATCATGCTCCCAAAGAAACTGTCATCAACTGTGGCTCATAGGCCCTCTCAGACCTTCCCAGCTCCTCCAAAATGTGCATGATGAGAGCTTCCCTTCCTGCCTGCAGGCACCACAGACTGAAAACAAGACCTGCAATGCTGCCATTTGTATCTTTTATTATCACCATTAGCATAGCTTGGAAAACTATACAAGCTTCTGAGTTCATAAACCCTTCCCTGGGCCTGCAGCAGAAGCAGCAAATGCACTAACTTGACTGCTTTCATTGCAAAATTAAAGAAAGGACTTTGAATCTAGAAATCTGTGGAAGTGCAAATACCTGTGTAAACACAAACACATCCTGCCTCCTCAGTCTTCTAAGTAATTTTAAATCCAGAACAATATTTTACTGTTCCTCTGGAGCACGATTATAAACAGCGTGGCCTGAAATCAACTCTACATTCTCTCCACATCACTATACCCAGAAGGTACTATTATCCTAAATTGTCTGCAGCCTGATTTCCTTTTCCAGCCATGTCTTCGTGATAGCTTGACTGTGAAACTACAGCAGATCTTTATGGATGGAAACAATTTCAAAATATTACACTGTAAGAGCAGGATTCAATTAGCCTTGAATTCTAGGAGGCAAAGACTCTCAGCATAATTGAGGACTGGTGTGTTAATAGCCCTCACAGTGACTTTTGAGATTCACCATATATACCCCCCCTTCTATATGTTATTTATATGTTTATTTATTTTATGAGAAAATAATCTGTAAAATTCAATATTTTTCATCCTTCTTCTGTACAATAGCATGGTTAGAAAACCATAGCTGAAATACATGCCAAATCCCACCCAATACAGGTGGTAGGGACTTTTCCAGAGGCAGCAAGGGGTTTGTAACCCACCTGTTACTAACCCAACCTGAGAGGCTCAGTCGTGAACAGCTCAGAAACATTTCACTGTTATTCCTTTTAGTGTAATTTGTGATATAACAATGGCCTCTACCTTTGAAGTGCATTTATTCTGGTGGCATAACCTCATAAAACAGAAACATGAAGTATTTTGGAAGTGTGCTCAGTTTGTTTAGAAACATGTTTGGTTGGTCACTAGAGGGCAGGAAAGGAAAGGAGATAAAAAGGAAAGAAAAAAAGGAAAAAAATGACGGGGGAAAAAAGCAAAATAAAAATAAATAGAGGAAGATATAGAAGAACAAAGAAAAAGAGGGACTGTTGGGCATGGAAAGACTAAAGCAGCCTTAAAAATAAATGCTTTTCCTTTCTGCTTAGGAGATTAAGGTTTTCTTAGGGGGAGAGACATTGTACATGCCAGTCTACAAGGCAGTCCATCAGATTTAGGATTTTCGGCTGTCAGCCCTTCATGTTATGAGGATTTTCCAGTTCTTTCTAATTGGTCCCTGCAGTTCTTTGCCTTCCTCTTGGAAGCAAAGTAAAATGCTGCAATAAATAGAACATTTCATGAGTTCAGAAATTTAGCTTATTCCAAAAGGAGAATGATTTAAAATTCATTCAATTTGAAGTATTTCCAGATGAGACTTGGAAAAAAAGCCCAAACCAGGGATAATTAATGTGTACATCAGGAAAGAATAAAACATTCCTATAAAGAAAAGGCTTTATTTTGGAGAGAAACAGAAGTGATCTGTTGTTTATTACTATATTTTTATAACTATAAATAGGAACTTTCTCAAAGCAAGCTTCTTTTTCTAAACAAAAAGATCAATTTAAGAAATACAGGCTCATTGCAAAATCAAAGCAGTACAGGCTGTACATCAGTGACTATGTGTGATACTGGATCTTTAAAGAAACTTTCTCCCTTCCCCTTCCTATTTCACCCATCAAGTACTTTGGCTATGTCTCTTAGACAAGCAGGAACTGATTCTTTTTCCCTGCAGTTTCCCATGTGTAGTTGGTGGTGTTTTATATGCAACACCTTCATTTTACCAGCAGCTGGGGGTAAAGTATAATGATTATAAAATGTTGTTCTGGAATAACAAAGGGATTTTAAAAAAAAGGAGACATGGAGATGGTGAAATGTTGAGAGACAGCTTTTCAGAGAGCAGCAAGCACAAAGCCAAGTGGTCCCTCCAGGAGATGGGGACACACTGTCAGTTGTTAACAAGCTGTAATGGTAGGCCATTTATTTATCAAAATACTGTATCTGTGTATGCAGCAACCAAGATAATTGTTCAGCAGTTTCATGACCAGCTGTGAGGACAGCAGTTAGAGAAGATCCTTTTTAGTGCTAGGGAGAAACTTGTGATCCAGCTACCAGCCACACAGATAAGTGTATAAGAGTTCATGGAAACTAGATTACACAGAAAAAAAAGCCTTTGGTCCAGGATGCCTGTGATTTGTGATTTTCTGTCAAAAACTTCTAGACAGAAACATGTCTAGAGGGCTTAGAAGGAGCTCTTGTTTGTTTTTCTGTAGTGCCTGGAACATTCTGGGATGACAGAGAGCCTTTTTAAACGCGTAGGCTCCTTGCATGCAAAGCAGAATTACAATTACACAGGGTGCCAGCATGAGAACATGGCAGAGGCCTGGGAAGTTGTTACTTTTTATTGGGAAGAAACCACAAGCAGCAGAGGAGCAGTAGGGCCAAAGATCAGCTTTGACTGGGGATGCCAGCAAAACAGATTCCTCTGTACATCAATGTACATCTATACCTCATAATATGAAAATGCTAAAAGCAATTAAAGGCAAATCAGAATATCTGACCAGTCATGAAATTCATTTTTTCTGAAGCCATTCAAAAGAAAAAAAAAAAAAAAGTGGTTAATTAGGTTAAAGTCTGTGTAGAACTGACTGAGATAGTAATAGGGAAAGAGCAATTCTCTTGAAAAATCATCTTAAGGGAGAATATAAAGGAGCAACCAACAAGCAGTGAGAGACTCTCCAGGCATTTAAATGGCAATTCAAGTGACATTTTATTAACAAATTTCGGTATTTGTTTTCTGTCCCAATTAAAAGGAAAATAAAAAAAAAAAAAGGCTCTATGGAGGTTCAGACATCTGCAGAATCTGCCCTGGGCCTTTAACAGAAGTGTCCTGGTCCTCCAAGAAATTGACAAAGCAGGCAGGTTTCTCAGTGTTTTACTTTTAATTGCCCTCTGAAGTACTGTTCCTCTTTCCACTGATGGCATAAAAAGCCTATAGTTTTAATTTGGATACCTAAATTGGTTGCCTATAGAATGTAAATACCATCCAGAGCAGGCAGTGTGAAGGAAAGCAAAGAAGAAACTAAATGTAATGTTTTTTTTAAGGAAACAGTAGTGTACCACTCCAAATACTTGCACGTAGATAGTCAAGTTGTTATTTTAGGCCAGATCTTTGAGAGGCAATTTCTCAACAATTCAAATGATGGCTTCTTGGAACAGCTAGTTCCACAGTCCAGGGGAAAAAAAATAGGAAAATGAACAGGCTATTCTTGATTTCAGCCTAAGAAAAAGTTACTTAGTTCAAGAAGTTTTTACAGTTTCACCATGAAGTAATAATTGTCAAATCCAGTGAATTTCAGTATTTCTAGTGGAAGGCTCCTGCTGAAAGTGCATGGCAGTGATTCAGAAGAGGAATTGTGATGAGAAGAAGGAATGTCATTACAGTGATATTGAAATCAGACATTAAACCATTAAAATCCTAAGACCTACTGTGAAGAATATATTTATACAGACTTTAACTCAGTCACAGAAAGTAGGAAACATGTTCAAATGGTTGTTGGTGTCACACTCTAATGGTTAGAAATCTTCAGTAAAAGCCTATAAAAATCAATACTTTTTTATTTTTAAAAGGAGGATTATGATAAGTGAACACAATTGTGTATATGTCCTTCTAAGCATAAGTTATCATGGAGTTAAACCAACATTACAACTAGAAACTTTTCCTTTGGGAGGATTGTTCCCACACCTTAAAACCAGTCATAACCAGTAATGTCTCAAAAAGGGTAGAGTACATTTTGTGAGAG